TACGGGTGATCTCGTAGTGGGTCGGAAAGTGGTTTATCATCCTATGGACAAACGTAAACATTGTAAGTTAATTTGGTGCCGATACCTAATTGATCAACCAGGTCGATTATTTTTAAATAACATTGTTAAAATGATACAAATACTGGTTACGTTTATGACTGTAAATAAAGCATGTCATTCATCAAACAATGCAGGTATATGTACATATACGGACGTATACGAACGTCAAAAACACATAGGTACTTAAAAAGACCACACACTGTGGGACAGGATTGCGTTGCCCTGCCTCTATCATTGAGGCGAATCATTTTCGGCTATAACGTTATCCTCGCAGAAAATTTAATAAATTTAACTTTGCTTATGGCTTTAAGTAACATTATGGCTAAACGGTGTGGGATGATTGGGCGACTCTCTCATTTCCCACGCCAGTGTTTGGTCAAATACTCACTGGTGATCTCCCATACGGTAACCACTGTCGACGCTGAATAGACTGCGGGTGGTGTTTGTCGAGGCCCTGAGGACGAAATGAGGGGATCATACAGCCGCTCCTCTGTCTTTCCTCTCTCTCTCTCTCTTTCTCTCTCTCTCTCTCTCTCTCTTCTCTCTCTCTCTCTCTCTCCTCTCTTTCCCTTTCTCTCTCGCTCTCTCGTCAGGTATATTCACTGCACTCTTTATTTCTCAACGTGCACCGTATCGTCTGCAGTTGTGCCTTTGTATATGAACGGAAGGTGATGTCGTTCACGTACCAGTGAAAGTTCCAGCACGTACCAGTAGAAGTTCCAGTCGTCCTCTGGTCCGACGGCGGTCCAGCCGCGCCGCTCCAGACTGGAGAGGACCACGGACCGGTCCACGTCGGTACAGTACGCCAGACGAGCCATGGCGGCCTGGCGGGACCGCCGGGACGTCAGCGCGAACTACTCAAAGATACCTACATCTGATATCTCCCTGAGGATCGCAGAATACGCAGATTCATAATTCATCTCCCCTGTTCCTACTACGAGCCACTCATTCTCTTCGCTTCTTGAATCCTTACTCACACGTTATAACACATACCCTTCCACTTATCTTTATCACAAATGTGGGCTTTGCCGGAGAATAGACAAGCGTATAATAGACGGTGCTGACGGTACACCAAGTACTTACTGGACCGGCCCCCAACGACGAGCGTTGAACGTTGAATATGTCTGAAATGTGATGTCGTTCTACCCTCACCGCCGACTCTATGTGTGACCGTTTACACCTTGCTGTGACTGTATGATGTGGATGCCACAGTTGACCGGCACCCGGTCTCGTAGCTGCAGTCTAGCGCTCATTGACCATGCTATTTGGTCGCCATGGAAACGGTCACGGTCGGCCGACTGGTGCTGCAGTCCTTGCTGCAGTCTCCGTAGGGGATCTGGTACCTGTAGTAAAATCAATATTTATTGACCCCCCCCCCCCGACCAAACGCACACCTCGTACTAGGGTTCATTATGCAAACCATCTATTTTGCGTGTTCATGAAAGAATGGGGGAGGCGTCGCTGACGAAATCAAGCTTTGAACGGCAACTTTTAACGCTAAATGATAACGATTTTGCCGACTAATCTTTTCATCTCGCAATCCGATCTCATTTGAAGGAAGGTGTCTGAGGTGATCGTCTCCACCAGTGTATGTCTGATACATGAACCTCTTTACTTGAAATCTTAACTTTATAAGTGCTGAATGTTTTTTTTTTTTGTTGGACTTGATCACCGTTCGACCGGCGAAAGTCTGTTTTAGGTCCGTTTTGCATTTTCCTCCTTTTTTCGAGTGCGTGTCGCATGAGGTGTGCACGCCACAAATGCAAATAGTGCACAGGCCGTGCGCGTGAGCTTCACCCGTATCTCCGGGTGTTTCTGATGCAACTTCTGAACAGAAGAGGAAATTCTAAGGAGGCGGGCATTTTTCCGGCGCGGGATAATTGAGCCACGCTGGCCACAGACGTGGCCGCTAACGCATGTGTCGATTGAGGCGAACATTGCACCATTTCGCTACCGTTGCTCGTGCCGCTATACATAGGCGCGGGAACTACTTTCAGACTGGGGGGCACACTATAATGGAGATGAACCTAGGGTACCCCCAAATCTAGTTTTCTCACCGGTTTTAGGCCACTTATTTTTCATCCCTTGGCTTTTTCAACAAAAAAGAAAAACATTTGCAAAAAAAGTGCAGTATTTCGTCTCAAAGTTGTGGGGGCACCGCCCCACGGCCCTAGAGTTGGGGGGGGGGGGCAAGCTGCCCCCCACTGCCCCCCCCGGCTCCCGCGCCTATGCCGCTATAGCACCCATATACGAGTAAGAGTCGCTGCCAGTGACCTGACTGTATCAGTAGCATCGACTCACGGTGCTAGGATCGGAACACTGCCCCGAGGGCTCCGTTCGGCGCGCAGCAGTGCAGCCTCGGCACTCCCCAGAAACTCCAAACAGCAAAATGCAGGTGAGCGACGTACCTGCATGGGACGCAAATAGTCTAACAGTGCGTCAGGGTATGCCTTATCATTAATAATCGACTCGACAGTTATCTACAGAAGGCAAGACAATGTCTGAAGAAAGCAAACATGAGTAAAATAAATAGTTGGATATAGGCAAAATTTGAACTAAGATCGATAACATCATAATTGAAGTCGGCGTCCGTAAAGTGACGACGTCTCATTGCTGGCAAACGTCTTCGGCACCTTGTCGCTGCTGGCAGCGCACTGAGACCCGTTCCACTTTCCCTCCCCTGCAGGTGGTGCTCCTTCTCTGTTTGGCGACACTGGTCACCGCTAGAGGCTTCTCCGCACCTGGAAGCTACGGCGCGGCGGGCTACGGAGCCTCCGGCAGCTTCGGAGCCCACTACGGCAGCGGCGGGTCGAGTGTCAACGTCTACGGGAAGCCGGTCAACATCTTCACACAGAGCGCGCTGCTGTTGCCTGCCTACGGCAACTTCGGTGGCTCGAGCAGCATCGTAGGATTCCTCGGGGGCTACAATAGTCAGGGAGGCGGCTACCTCGGAGGCTATGCAGGCTACGGAAGTAAATATCAGGGCGGTAGCTTTGGAAGTGGATCCACTGCCGGCTACAGTGGATTGGGAAGCAATTCACTCGATGGGTTCGGTGGATATGGAAGCAGCTCTTTGAGCGGTTTCGGTGGTTTTGGGAGCAGCTCTGTTGGTTACAGTGGATTAGGATCAAGCTCGGTCGGCTACGGTGGATTTGGAAGCAGCTCTCGGGCAGCTACGGTGGATTTGGAAGCAGCTCTCTCGGCAGCTACGGTGGATTTGGAAGCAGCTCTCTGGGCAGCTATGGTGGATTTGTAAGTTCTCTGGGAAGCTACGGGGGTTATGGAAGCGGATCTACTGGCGGTTACTCCGGACATGGAAGTGGATCTCTGAGCGGTTTCGGTGGTTATGGAAGCAGCTCTCTTGGCTACGGTGGAGTTGGAAGCAGCTCTCTGGGCAGCCACGGTGGATTTGGAAGTGGATCTATTGGCGGTTACTCCGGATATGGAAGTGGATCTCTGAGCGGTTTCGGTGGATTTGGAAGCAGCTCTCTTGGCTACGGTAGATTTGGAAGTAGCTCTCTGGCCGGTTACGGTGGATTTGGAAGCAGCTCCTTGAGTGGCTCTCTCGGAGGACTATCGGGAGGCTACCACAGCGTTATCGGAGGCGTGTCCACCGTAAAACCCGCAGGTACGCCTGTCAACGTCCTCACTCAGACCGCACATCTGGCCCCCATTTACGGATATCTCGGAGGCTACAATGGCTTCGGAGGCAACTACGGGCCTACAGCTCGGGAGGTTTTGGCGGGCTGGCGAATACCTTCCTTGGAGGCCACAGCGAAGGTTTCAGTGGCTCATCGGGCTATGGTGGCCAGGTGAGCGGCTCCCTGAACGGCTACGGCGGAGTTGGAAGCAGCTACGGTGGATATGGAACCGGATCTCTTGCCTACGGTGGATATGGAGGCGGATCTCTGGGCAGCTACGGTGGAACCAGCGGTATTGTCGGCAGTAGCGGATTTGGAAGCAGCTCTGTCGGTGGCTACAGTGGGCATGGAACCGGATCTCTGGGCAGCTACGGTGAGCATGGAAGCAGCTCTCTCGGCGTCTACGGTAGCTTCGGAAGTGGATCTCTTGGCAGCTACGGTGGATTTGGAGGTAGCTCTCTTGGCTACGGTGGATTTGGAGGTAGCTCTCTTGGCTACGGTGGATTTGGAAGCAGCTCTCTGGCCGGCAACGGTGGCATTGGAAGTGGGTCCCTTAGCGGCTACGGTAGCTTTGGAAGTGGATACCTTGGCGGCTACAGTGGGCTTGGAAGCAGTGCTCTTAGCTACGGTGGATTTGGAATTGGATCTCTGGCCGGCTACGGCAGCTTTGGAAGTGGATCTCTTGGCGGCGACGGTGGCTTTCAAAGCAGCTCTCTGGGCGGCTACAGTGGACATGGAAGCAGCTCTCTTGGCTACCGCGGATTTGTAAGCAGTTCTTTGAGCGGTTACGGTGGAGTCGGAAGCAGCGCTCTTGGCGGCTACCGTGGCTTTGGAAGCAGCTCTCTGGGAGGCAATTTCGGAGGTGTTTCTGGAGGGTACTACGGTTGAATCGGAGGTGTATCTCAAGTTAAACCTGGGAGGACACCCGTCAACGTCCTCACTCAAAGCGCACATCTAGCACCTAGCTACGGATATCTCGGAGGTTACAATGGTTTTGGAACTAGCTATCTTGGAAGCTACGGCAGTCTTGGGGGCACCTTCTCCGGAGGTCAGTTTGGTAATTACGGCTTCGGAAGCTACAATAATATAGGGCACAAATGTTTCTGAGCATGCAGCACAGCAGTTTCAGAGGCTGCCATGATTGCTGCGAGCGGCTTTCTTAGTGGTCTGTGCAGGGTAGTTTTCCCGTTCCCTCCACAGATACGAGCCGGGGAAGTAATGCGGTTAGTTTGGAAACCTTCGCCGAGCATTGTCTCGCCCAGCTGGGATCTGAAGCCGGTCCAGTGAGAAATGAGAAGATTTTCAGCGGTTCTATCAGACTGTGTTTATTCACGATGTATCTGCATTGAATGTGGCTGTTTAAAATAAAATAGTCGTTGAAGAATGCATCGTTTACCTACTCTAATTCTGTTCTAACTTCACTCATGTTAATTCAATCATTCATCCTACTCCTGATGCTACAATGAAAGCCTGCACATTGAACAAGCATGTGCACGGAACGCCTGAACAAGCATCACTCAAATCACCGGCCATATTCGCCGCTTCTTCAGTACGATCACTCAGCTTCCCACTCTTAACACACTTAGCATTTATCAACCCTTCATTAGATTTCAACAACTGACAAAATAGGCGACAACAGCCGAACTGCTGTACTCCGGTACAGCTACAGCACGGCTAGGCTATAGCTCGGCCTGCGCGCCACCCGATGGTTGTTCCGAGGAATGTGATGTGGGCCAGGCCGCCGCTAGGAACGCGGACGGCCACGCTATGGTCCGCGGGCGGCCACGCTATGAGGGTGAGGTGATGGCGCGCTATCGACCCGCACAGGTCAGCACTCGACACACCGGCGCCATGTCGCCAGTGTGTCCATCAGTCGGCGCTGTGCACCACGGCAGGACGCGGCGCTGTGATCTCTGGGGGTCCGCTGCGGACGGTGACGAATCCCCAGCGCATGTTGCGACGGATACCGACAACGGCTGACTGGACCTGTTCCGTGCTCTAGGTCAGCCGCCGTGATTCCGACCGTAACACCCACCAGCGACGCTTCGCTCAGCCCCGACGGGTCTACCGGTCTCGCAAACACCCTCGGCTGAATAAACCTCTCAGTCAGACCTCAGCGGCGCCCTCACAGTCCGACGGTCCCGTCCCATTGCGCCTTCACGGTCCGACAGTTCGGTATCAGCAGCGCGCTCGTCCGCCCAAAACGAACTTAGCCAATCTGTGACGGTCCGGTCCCAACAACGCTCTCACTGTCAGGTCTCGGCGCCCCCCGCACGCACGGGTCCCATCCCCAGTACAACTCCATACACAACGCTAACTCGAACTATATCTGATTGCATCCCGAGCCACCCAGTTCGGTAATAACACTATAGTTGGTCGCTCGCCAAACCCGATACATGAACCCTACATGAGTAACGCACAATGTGTGACTATCGACGGAAATTTCAGCGAAATGAACACGGGCTGAACCAGCTCCTTCGGCTCGGATGGCGGACAACGTCCAACAATAACTTAACAAATCAACGAACGATTATGAATCAATAATATGCACCAGTTGAGTTATCCAACAGCCGGGCACGCATCTAGTCAGGTAACGTTAATTTTCCAGCTGACTAGAGCTTCATTTATACGACTCTGGCACACTTTCTTCAATCAACACTGTTCTGCCGCATCACGGTTGGCCACGCGGTTCTGTCCTCAACTGATGGACAGTCGGGTGACCCTTTTGTCCGGGGTTGACCCACTCAGGTGACCCCTCTCACTCTCACTCGTGGCCCCAGCGTCGGCCGGGCGGCGGCCGCTCCCAGTCAGAAGCGTCGCTTTGTGGCCGCTGGTCCTCGTGTCTAATAGGCCCCTCACACCTCTCTCGCAGACGCAGCGATTAGGACACACCGGTCGGGCGCTCACCCATCCCCAGCAGTGTACCCTCACCAGCCGTCCGTCCTGCGGCGCTTGCCAGCTCTTCGGCCCGGCGTTGGTCTGCAATACGAACCGCTGCAGCCCGCTACAGCAGGCAGTTGGTGTCCTCCTCGGTGTCGGAGTCGCCGGCGGCGGCGGTGGCGGCGCCCGGCGGCAGCGGCTGAGCGCAGCGAGCCACCAGCTCAGAGTACGAGCCGCCCGGCGTCAGGCAGATCAGCACCACCGTCATGTTGTCGCAGCCGAGGCCGCCCATCTGACAGTCGGGCGCCAGGCAGCGGGTCATCAGCTCCTCACACACGTCCTCCGGCTCCATGTTCTGGCCGATCCGGGTCCGTACAAACTCCAGCACCTCCTGTACAGACAGAAGCGGGGATGGGGTCAGACAGGGGCCACATCTGGACACAGCGGCGAGGGTGGGGTCAGATGGGACTCTTTCTCATTGTCACCTAAGGACACGTCAAAAAAGGTGGGGTCAAGTAGAGACACGTCCTGATATGGCGACAAGTTTAGTGAAACGAATGGAGCTACAGAGAGCTTCCTGTAGACAGAATAGCGGGTAACTTCTGGACTCTTCTGGACAGAATGTAGCGAAATAATAGACGGGGTTATATATCTTGCAAGTTCAATGGCATGCTTCCAATGAAAAGGACGAGGAGGCAGCGTGATCTCACCTGATTGGTCAGCACGTCCCAGATGCCGTCGCAGGCCATGACGATGAACTCCCAGTCCTTGGTGATGTTGCGAGTCTCCACGTCAGGGTACGCTGCGGAGGAAGGATATAAGTAGTTAGAGCAGTGCGGACACGGGTAACCGACGGGGTACCGGGTAGTCGTATAACAGCTCTTACCGCCAGCACAGCGTGCGGTGCCGTACCAAAAGGATAAGCAAAAACACGACACTGCACACAAACCCAAAACACACAGGACACCAGAACATTCAAACCAGCATTAGGAACGACAAGGTACAGTCGCTCAGCTAACGGACACGATGCTAACATAGGGCTGAGAGTTAAGGCCATATCGAGACGACACTGCGATGAGGACATCAGGCAGCACTGCAAGCAGCGAAATTGCTGGGCGTGTCTCGCTGCCCGCTGCATAGTCTGCAGGGACGGCACTGACAGCCGTCCCTACAATAACGGCACTGACAGGCGTCCCTACAAGTGCCCACGCCTTGCTCAGTCAGATGCCCTCGGCTGTCCGGAGCCCTCGGCGACTAACCGACAACATTTGCCCATGACCGGAGCAGCTGAGGGACGACGGACTGGTGGTGGCCTTGGCCAACGGCTGCCGCCAACACAATGAGCCCCGAATCCGGCACTGGGAGCACCAATAACTACAATCCTCTATTGAACAAAACGTCTGAATCGAGTGGACTGAGGTACATCATTATAACAAAATTCTTCTTTATTATTATCATTTTGTCCCAGATCAGTAAGGAACTCATCGATTCAATTGAACAACTCATGCCGAAGTCCCTAGCAATAGTGTTCCTGGACTGGACGATTCGAATGCAACACATTACACTGTAGAGTGTTGGTCTAACCAAATTGAGGTCAAACGCGGTTACAAAAAGTCGCCCCATTTTTTAACATCTTGCATGTGCTTATATCAAATTTATTTATCACACTCACTCTCATATGCATGTTGTATGTAGCTAAGTCGATGTATCCCTCGCCAAGTTATCGTATGACATGCACTACGAACCGTACCATCTTCCATTACAGTTCCGCCCCGCATGTCCTTGGCGACTCTCCCCCCCCCCCCCCCCCCCCGGCGGTTTTCCCTCTCCAGCTGTCAACTGGGTTTATAGATAAATATAAGCGGGACAAAATACGAGTAAAATACGAGCAAAATACGTATGGTGTGCCCCCCCCCCCTCTCCCCCACGGGAGATAAGTCGCAATCAAGTCGCAATGGATTAATAGGAACTTCGATCAGGCACCGCGTGACCCTATTTCGCTGTGAACTACACATACGCATGTAATGCTGGCGAACAGCGAGATAAATCTGCGATATAAATTGCATTGTATTAAACATACATGTAAGCTACGTATGGTGTATTGGTAATGTTATCAGGCACATCCTACATGCAAAAATAATGATCAGTAAGTGAGAAAAAGAAGTGCACAAGCTGCCACCAAAATCGTACTGTACTTCATAACATCAGAAAATTTAAATGATATTGAAGAAAAAATCACTGTACGTAACATCGCATCATAGAACAGTACTTGTCAAAAGATACAATTGCCAGAAAGCAGCGCGCGCACTTATTTGTCCTCCTCTTTCTCCTCTTCATCCTCATGCTCCTCGTCTTCATGTTCATCATCCTCATGCTCCTCGTCTTCATGTTCATCATCATGCTCCTCGTCTTCATGTTCATCATCCTCATGCTCCTGCTCCTCCTCCTCCTCCTCCTGCTCTATATCCTCTTCGTCATCATGCTCCTCATCTTCATGCTCTTCATTCTCGTCTTCCTCGCTGACATGATCAGAATGATCATCCGCATGGGGATCATCCGCAAAATGATCCACATGGTGCTCACCAGAGTGATGCTCATCGGCATGGTGATGATCCACGTGGTGACCAGCAGGATGGTGCTCATCCTCACCGATGACATGATGACCGAGATCCTCGTGGCCAGCGTCATCTTCATCGTCCTCAAAAAAGCTCGGCTGATCTTCAAGATCTTCATCACCACCCGGCAGTGCTAACGGCTTAAAGCCCGAATGTCCTCCGCTGTGATGCAAAGAACCTTCCACTGCATCATTCAGTTGCAAGTGCACGGGAACTGGGTGGACTGCCTCAGGTGCCCTCACTCGGATACTTTCCCGATAATGGGGAACCACCCTGCTGTGGTATTCGGGAAGCGACCGGCGCTTACGCTCGTTGGCGCTGTTGATAACGCGCATGTATACTTTGGGACGTGGCGTCTCTTTGCTTGCGGCATCGACATTGGATGACTCGGGGGTGGTCTCAGGCTTCACAGGAACAGATTCATTCTGAATCACGTGTAATGCCCTTGCATGGCAGCTTGCAATAGCCAAACACAAAATAACGAAAATCTGGAGATGCATTTCGAATATTTTGATGTACTTTACTATTCAACTTAAGTGGACATTCCACAAAACAAAATCAATTTTGACTTCTGATTTGAGGCAAATAAAAAGGCAAAACAAAAACTTCAAAATCACACAAACGAAAACATCACAAAACAAAAATGAATGTAGGCAACTGTGAACTTTTGTTGAACTTGAACTAAAAAATATTCAGCATGCAGCTCACGCCAAAATGATCAGCGCGCCTACAGTTCAACGACGCTCAGATATTTTTTTCAGAAAGGACAAGTCATGTCATGCAACGATATTCTACATGATGATGTAGTGTCTTGCAGTATGGGGACGGTTTTTACGCATTTCCTTGGATTCCAATGCAATGGCCTTTCGCACCATTCCAAAATCTTTTCCTCAGAGTGAACAAACTTCACGCACGTTAGCTACCTCATTGACACACGTTAGGGTTAGGTACCACATCTCCAAATAAATAAAAGGCGCGTTCCAGCTACCACATATAGATTACCGATGGCTTTTACCTTTGAATGATTAATAAGGGGCTCTAGACGCTGAATATTGTTTTTCCAACTTTCAAAGATTAATGGGAACTCCAAGACGACTAACATGTACCAGCATGACGCGTACCAATATATCGTACGGTCGTAACCAGTGACCTACATACGGGTTACTCTCAAGGCATCCGCATGATGAGTCAATGGCAGCAAACCTGTCCCCGATTTATGCCAGTTCAGTAGCACTAGCCATTCCCAACGCTTTTAGGCATGCTCGAAGGTGATGCCTAACCGGATAGAAAATTGGCATTATGGCTCCGAGCTATGTTCCTTACGTGAGCAAATAAGCATAAGAGGAATATATTTTTCACATGGTTTCGCCTAAGACATAATTGTAAGCGACTTGAGTCCGCAATTGAGCCCGCCGCGAGCGAGATCGGTGGGAATGTGTTGTGTGGGGAGAAGTGGGAGTTTGGAAACGTTGTGCGTTTCGTCGTTGTCTGCATCTCATGTCATGTGTCATGAAATATAATATATATGAAGAAGAAAAAAAATCAAAAGCGACGGGCGACAACATTTGGTAGGAGTCCCGCCACTGTGCCGGGCCCCGGATAAAAACCGGAGAACATCAGCCAGGAATACAATGCGGAAATAGCGGCCGTGGCGACGGGCAGAGGCGACAGACTGACCGTGGTACGATCCGAAAAAGGTGGTGCTGTATAAACAGATCGGCGCCACGCCGCGCGAGCGTGCCCGCACCCGTATACAGACACGCAAGGTCGCTCTGCGGGCTCCCGGACCGAGACAAGTCCCTTTACTCCCATCGCCTTCAAATCCTTCAGACCTCCACAACGGCGATCCCACCAAGCGTTCTAGCCTTCTAAATCCACCGCTCCAAACGCCACCCCGTTCCCTCCCCCACCAGAAGCTATGAGCGCTCGGCCTAAATACAAATCAACAGCTGACACTCTTGACATGCCACTACCTGACATCACTGACTTGTCACCCTCACTACTCATGCACCAATGACTACAAACCCCACTGCACTATCACCAGCCGTTACCATGACTGACCTGACCTGTCACCACCCAACACCCGTCACCACTGCACTATCATATCACCATTCGTCACATGACTGACCTGTCACCACCTGTTCCTCGGGGTCTTCTCCTCGTTCCGTTTGAAGATGAAGTCGCCAAGCGCGCGCGACAGGGCCAGGTTGCCGTTGACGCGGTTGCCTTCCACCCAGCCGCCGGCGGCGGTGATCCGTTCCACCTCTGTCTTGTTGTTGGGTTTGTGGTCGAACGAGAGCACCTCGAGCTGGCCACCGACGCTGGCGATGGCGCGCGAGTCACCCACGTTCGCCTGCCGGCCGGGGGAGCAACAACCGGTCAGTTACGGTACTCCACTCAGTCAGAAAGTTAGGGAAAACAGTTGGATAAACCGATCAAACACTAAATCATTTACATTCCAACCCATCACAGGTATAAATCTTCCTAAATATATCAGTTATTATCCGACAAATATATAATATGAAATACACTTATTGTTTATTGTTAAACAATGGGGGCAAAATACATTGGAGAATCCGTCACATTCGTGGAGAATCCGTATTTCATTCTTTTTTTCAGAAATTCAATAACAACCGCGTATTTTTATTCCTTTGTGTAGCACCATCGCAATACCAGTATTAAGAACGTTATCTTGTGCATACCCAACTACGTATCGATTTTAGGTTCCTCGCGCAGCAGCAAGTTGCTTTTAGTAGCCCGCAGTCGGTTCCAACAGTCAGATCGGCTACCCGGCCAGCCAGCAGCCGACCGAACCTCGGACCGACCTCTGTTTTTCCGCATTGCATCACGCTGCACAGCGGTTACCGCTCGCCCTACTCGCGTGCAAGTCTTGCTGACCGAAGCAACCAAGAAATCAACAAGACGACGTGGGGCGCTGTCAACTAGCACATCTGGGTCCGGTATCGACTCACATTTTCTAGTGCAGCTCATAATACATGCATTAGCATTAGCGCGCACGTGCACACGTGTTTCATACCTCGCAACGACACAAAAAATACCGCAAAAATAAAATTAACATTAATAAATACATATCGAGGAGGCTCAGACCGCAGAAGGGAAGGTGAGCCACTGCACCCATCGCGCCCACTCCGCCCCCTCCTCGCTCGTGTCATAGTGTGCGGACTGCGGCCGGTCACGACCGCTCGCAGAACTGCGCCCGGTCACCGGGTGTGATTTCACCCACAGGGGTCGATATGCGGGCGCCAGTCTGTCCGTGAAAACCGGCGCCGGTCCTATCGGTGTCGCCGTGCTGAGTCACGCACCCGTCGCCAGTTCGATCACACACCGAACGGATACCCGTATCGGCTACCGCCCAGATAAAGGCGACAGGCTACCAGGGCCAAGGGCAGAGTCGGTACACAATAGTGACGGCCAGCCAACGCCCAGCTAAAATACCACGGTTTAAAGTATATAATTAAAAACGACCGGTCCGTTTCTGGGTGTTACCATGCATCTCGTGGTGCCCGCGTCTGCCCTATGTTATAAGCTGAGGATATCCCGCTCTTAACCACACACCGACGCCCCACTCCTAAAACCCACGGGTCACATAGTAGATGGAGAAACTATGTACACTGCACCCCGCCTTAAATCAAATAGGTACGCCAACCATTCTCCAGATAGTTGAGAATCTGAATACATACCAAGCCCCCGCCGTCCCACCCACAGCAAAGTGAGATGATCAGCTGATATACAGACCCCGCCTCGACCCCCCCCTCTGCCCCCACTCTCGGCTTCAAGCCCTCCACTCACAGTGCAGTAGATGGCCGAGAATGGCCCGTCCCCTCCCCGCCCTCCAATCACGCAGCAGAGGGTTATATCCGGATAAAGACTCCCGCCTCCCAACCTCTCCAACCACGCCTTTCACTCACACAGTAGATGTCCATTTACGACCCCATCCTGTCCCTTCCACCCTTTACTCACGCAGTAGAGGGTGCCGTCGCGGATGAGAACGCTGACGGCCGTCGTGCCGGCCAGGTCATCCTTCAGCACCTCGTCGGCCAGCATCATCCGGTCAATCTCCAGACAGGCCTGTTTGAGCGCCTCCGAGACGCGCCCCTTCTCGTACTCGGGCCGTCGCACCACCACCTTGTGCAGGTGCCGGCTGGCATACTGCGCTACTTTCTCGCCTGAAATGGAGAAACGAGGATCACATGTCAAGGGCATATGCCTATTAATGAGCAGATACAAGTTGCAGGTGGACTGGTGAAAAGTTTGGGCATCTTGGACAAATAAGATACCATGTCATCACAATGCATGGATAAAAAACAACGCCATAACAAGTGTAAAATGTCTATAAAAAACGGAGCTGGCACAAACTACAGGCAATTTCTCTTCCACCACTAATTCTGAAATGCCATCTATTCAACCGAAGCACTCACCTCCATGTCCATCAAAAACAGCAAAAAACGCTGCAGATGGGTCATCGGGCAGGGAGAGTGTGCGTGTGAGCATCTTCCATGGTCACCCTCCATCCCTGCATGCAGCTGGAGCCAACTCTGTAGGCATCCGACCCCAGGCTGTGTGTCTCCTTGTGGGTGACGGGCTCCGAGAGCATCTGACCCATGGTGGCGTCTAGGGCGGAGCTGCGTGACACTCAGAGATCCATCTGTGACAAGGATAGAACCATTGGTTAAACAAACTAGCTGGAGGTAAAGGTGAAAAGTAACTGATCTGATGAAATCCTTTACTATAACCCTATCAACACAAATTATTATCAAACAAAACTTGACTGCAAGTGCAATATACCTACATAATACCTTATTACCTACACTCTACAGTGGGCAGCATAAATAACACACTATCTATTCAAAAGCATTACCAATAGGCTTAATAATCGGTATTATGATAGCAGGCGTCTCACATGCTGCCACCGGTTTGGGAAAAGTCGCTAGATTCGTCAGGTCTAGAGATATTTCTACCAAGTCGCTATATAGGGTAATCACATAGCGGTGATTTCAAAAACGGAGTCAGTGTTTTTCTGAGCTGGCGGGGGGGGGGGGGCGTTTGGGGGGGATTGCCCCCCTTGCCGATAGCTCGGGAACGGCTGATCGGAGCCAGGCTTGCAAGGTGGCATTGGAAAGCGGTCGAGTAGACAAGCCTAATTAGTAATGCAACCATCGGGATACTGGGGGGGCGTAGGGGGGGATTGCCCCCTTGCCGATAGCTCGGGAACGGCAGATCGGAGCCAGGCTTGCAAGGCGGCGTTGGAAAGCGGTCGAGTAGACAAGCCTAATTAGTAATGCAAACTATCATCGGGATACTGGGGGGGCGTAGGGGGGGATTGCCCCCCTAGCCGATAGCTCGGGAACGGCTGATCTGAGCCAGGCTTGCAAGGCGGCGTTGGAAAGCGGTCGAGTAGACAAGCCTAATTAGTAATGCAAACTATCATCGGGATACTGGGGGGGGGGCGTAGGGGGGATTGCCCCCCTTGCCGATAGCTCGGGAACGGCTGATCGAAGCCAGGCTTGCAAGGCGGCGTTGGAAAGCGTTCGAGTAGACAAGCCTAATTACTTAATTAGTAATGAATACTATCATCGGGATACTGGGGTGGCGTGGTGTGTGTGTGTGGGGGGGGGGGGTGTTGCCCTTGACCGATAGCTCGGGAACGGCTGATCGGGGCCAGGCTTGCAAGGCGGCGTTGGAAATCGCTCCTAATTACAAGCCTAATTAGTAATGCAAATTATCATCGGATACGGGGGGCGCAATGCCCCCTACGCCCCCCCCCCCCCGTATCCCGATGATAGTTTGTTTTACTAATTAGGCTTGTCTACTCGACCGCTTTCCAACGCCGCCTTGCAAGCCTGACTCCGATCAGCCGTTCCCGAGCTATCGGCAAGGGAGGCAATCCCCCCTACGCCCCCCCCCTAGTATCCCAATGATAGTTTGCATTACTAATTAGGCTTGTCCGGCTTGTCTACTCGACCGCTTTCCAACGCCGCCTTGCAAGCCTGGCTCCGATCAGCCGTTCCCGAGCTATCGGCAAGGGGGGCAATCCCCCCCCCAAACGCCCCCCCCCGCCAGCTCAGAAAAACACTGACTCCGTTTTTGAAATCACCGCTATGTGATTACCCTATATAGCGACTTGGTAGAAATATCTCTAGACCTGACGAATCTAGCGACTTTTCCCAAACCGGTGGCAGCATGTGAGACGCCTGCTATAACAATACCTAATAATCAACCAGGAGTGGAGTGATACCATCCTGCTCTTTAAGTCTTAATCCCAATCCCGCAACATTCAATTTCCCTCTTTTTAAAATGTCAACTTCTATCACCAGATGCTGCTACAGCTAATAGGTCTGAAAATAAACAAAAACCTAGCAGAAAAATAATTAACTAGCTGCTTATCTCCACATGTTTGGTTAACTAGCTAGGTACTCATCTGCCCCTGTTTGTTATTTAGTAATAACTTCAGTGGCAGATAAAAAGCACTGGGCAATCATTCCCATTCATAAGAGCATGTCAGTAGGCGGAACTATGGTCATGAGTACCCAAATATAGGAACGTCCCCATTTTTGGGAACGGAGTTCCCAAATATGGGAACGGGCGTTCCCATTTATGAGAACGGAAGGTATATTTTTCGGCCGTTCGCCCACTAAAACTCATTAGTGCATCACGTCTAAAAAAAGTGCACGCTAATTTAAGTATCTACTAAGTCTCTATAAAATTATCTTTAATCTGACCGTTGCACAAGGAAATTGACCGTCGAATGATATTTTTAATGATTTTTTGAAATGACGGAATGGTGAAAACATGGGTTATACTACATTTAACTTGCAATTTTAAGGAAAATGAAGCGTTTTTTACATTTTGAGGTCAAGTATAATAATTTTCGCCTGGTTATGAAGTTTCATACTAGCGACACCAGATGCTGACATATGCAAGCGAACACGCGGACAGTCCGGGGGTAATATTGGTGACATTTGGTGTCGGGGCGCACAACCGCATGGAACGTCAGTGATTTTACCGAACTACTGTTGTAAACTCAGTTTCAGTGGTTTAAAATTATTCAGCTGTATTTTATCATCCCACAAAGACATATTTTATTTGGATGCTAGCTGTTTAGAGTTGTTTTATAAGGAGCGTCATGAGCGTGGTTTTTGTCTTCCGTGTTTCTAAGCGTGATCGTTTTGGGGGAATTTCTCTTATATAGGTCGCTCTGTGTGGCTTATTTATAATTTTTATGCTGATTTCGATCATTCCTCGTGCCCATCCTACCAGGCCTTTTGCCACTTACACTCATCAAGAAAGGAAAAAACTAGATTTTCATTGGGACTAGGTGTTTTGAGGGTGTAACATATTCAGCGTTCCCATTTTTGGATACTTCCTTGTGCTCGTCAACTATCGGTGATAAACAGACAGGTGCTTGACATGTCTCCACCCTCGGCGCGGACGGTGGATATAGGTATGGAAGACCTTGTTGAACATCGCTGAGCGTTGTGAATTACGTAATCCTGCAGAGGGGGGCGTGCCCGCTGCGAGATCGACGGGAATAAAAGCGCAGAAGACCGGGCGAAACATGCGACGGTCTTGCCGGAAAGGTCATCTGATGATTGTTGCGTTAACAATAATTTGCGGCGTTGGACGTGATGCTTGTTAATGAAAAGAGCCCCTGAAAGGCGTCGGTGAAATCGTTCCCAATTTTGGGTACGCCGTTCCCATAATAAGGAACGCTTGCAGCGCCAGTGTACGAGAGCGTTCCCAAATTTGGGCTCGCGGCCCGGATGATGGACTGCTTTAGAAATAGGGGAACGATTTGAAACTACGATGGGCCTTACAATATCAAACTCTTTCCCAACAATATTGAGACAAATATCAGGCGGTTCACGATCGTTTTATATTTTATGGACGTCATTTAACGGTTCTTTTTCTTGTTTTAAATAATGCCTACACGGCGTTCCCATATTTGGGTTTATCGTTCCCAAACATGGGAACGAAAATACGTTCCCGAAAATGGGTACGCTTGACCATAGTTCCGCCTACTGACTGGCCATGGCATGCAAATACCAGTTTGGGCACTCACAACATTGAAAAATGCCTTAATTCGACGGTCGTCAAGTTAGATGTAAGTGAATCCTAATCTATAATCTAAGATTCGGAATCAGGTGAGCCCCTACGATTTGGACCAAACTTGGTCAGTGGATAGTACGTAACGTCCTGATTACGATGCACCCAAAATCTAAGCTCGGCCCGCCATATTTACGAAGTAACGGATGTTTGAATTTCAAGGTCATTCAGGAGAGCCCCTGCGATTTCCGTCAAAATTTGTGTACGGACACGCTAGATGCTCCTCATTACGAATATCACAAAATTTAAGCTCGGCCCGCCATATTTACGAAGTTACGGAGGTTTGAATTTCAAGGTCATTTGGGTGAGCCCCTGCGATTTCCGTCAAAATTGGTATACGGACATATTACATCCTCCTCATTACAAATATCATAAAAGTTAAGCTCGGCCCGCCATATTTTTCAAGTTACGGAGTCACAAAGTTCCGGACTTTCAAGGTCATTCGGAGAGCCCCTCCGATTTTCGTCAAAATTTGTATGCGGACGCATTACATGCTCCTCATTACGAATATCGTAAAAGCTAAGCTCGGCCCGCACTATTTCAAAAGTTAGAGATGTTTGAATTTCAGTGAGTTTCAAACGTCAGTAACTTTTGAAATAGTGCGGGCCGAGCTTAGCTTTTACGATATTCGTAATGAGGAGCATGTAATGTGTCCGCATACAAATTTTGACGAAAATCGGAGGGGCTCTCCGAATGACCTTGAAATTCCGTAACTTTGTGACTCCGTAACTTGAAAAATATGGCGGGCCGAGCTTAACTTTTATGATATTTGTAATGAGGAGGATGTAATATGTCCGTATACCAATTTTGACGGAAATCGCAGGGGCTCACCCAAATGACCTTGAAATTCAAACCTCCGTAACTTCGTAAATATGGCGGGCCGAGCTTAGATTTTGGGTGCATCGTAATCAGGACGTTACGTACTATCCACTGACCAAGTTTGGTTCAAATCGTAGGGGCTCACCTGATTCCGAATCTTAGATTATAGATTAGGATTCACTTACATCTAACTTGACGACCGTCTTAATTCGGAGATATCGAATTTCAAACTTGCAGTTTTCGGATTTTATGGGGCTAATGCATTGGAATGCCGCATATTTACGTCTGGACAACGAGTTGCGTTGGAGAGGCCGGAAATAGTGGCGATTTCAGGACCGCAAGAATGGACCGTCATTGGAATGATTCTTTTTTAAATCGTGCACTGTTTTCGGCCGGAATTCAATAGTTACTACAAAATATTTTGTAATTATGTTTCCACCAAGAATGAATGCCATCAGGGCTAAATTTTTAATACTATTGTATTTTGTCAAGAAGCATATAGTGCTGTTATATTGCAGTTTTAGCGCGTTTATTACAAAATATGAAGCGAATAAGCGTCAGTGTAATTCATCACAACAGTGCCAGAAGTTAACTTGAGGGAAAGCTATGCTAATTGCTCTTGTCAGTTGTCCATCCACTAAAATTTATTGAATATTTTGCTTTGTGTATTCCAAAAGGAGAGGGAACTATTTCATTTGTGCCTTCATGTCAGAATTGAA